AGATTAGTATGAAACTATAAGTAAAAAATAACAAAATTAAAGTTTATACGGCATTCAATGATTTGCATTTGTGAGCAATTGCAGCTCTCCATCATGAACTCTCAGTCGTGCCTTGTTTAAAAAATTTTACGTATTTTTGCGATATCAAAGATATTCCGTCTATTCGTGATAGTGTTAATTAAATTGTATAGCAGGCTAGGAAAGAAACACCACAAGATAAATCTTGAGGTGCCAACCGCACACTGATACATCATTTTTATATAATTTTTTTAAATGTCTCTATGTTTATCGGGAAGCCAATATCTGAATTTTTAATTTTTAATCATTCCATGATGATTATAAACTAACGTCATTTAGTCATTCAGAGTAAAATTAATTCATAATTTAACATTTTTTTAATTCAAATTTCTGCCAACTCTGTTTTGTTTTGCAATAGTATTTAAAGACAAAATCCTTTATTGCTTGGACAATTTAGCATAGGATATTTTCAATAAATTATTTACATTATGGCTCTCGTATTCAATGCAAACCCTCTATATTTTGTGCTCCATCAATAGTTGTATACACGACACTGTTTTTGATTTGGATGCCTTTTAGATGTCGCTCCAATCCAAGATAATACAGTCAAAAGTCTTTAATCCGGACGTCCATAATCCGGAATGATCTATAATCCGGACCTCAAAGCTACAAACTTTCTGCGCATGTGTAAATGTATAATGCGTTTGCGCATGCGCGTTTCATGTATAACGGACGGCATAAGCTAAGCTAAAATGATCTAATTATGTATTTTAGTTAATGTTGCAGATAGCGTTGTTTTTTAATCTTCTAATTGAATCCGGCTTATTATTTTTTGCAGACTGTTAGAGCAATTTTATAAAAGTAAGCTTGAACTTTCGATTATGTCTAAAAGAATTTCCGATTCTGGAGCTGCCAAAAGATCTACAAAGCGAAAGCATGTTTCGACGTCCATCAAACAAAAAGTGGAATTGCTGCAAAAAATGGATACAGGCATATCCTGTTTCTCTAACCATTCCGAAATCTGTTTATCAATTTCACGCTTCTCTACGGGAGGGGGGGGACGTCGCGGCGCGCAATGAACTGGAAGTTGATCTGTCAGCAGTATCCGTACCTTCGGGGCAGATATTTTTGTTTTATTCGGCTTATAATTCCTTACTAAATGTAGTATTCCATCTCGATGCACTCCGTCTTTGAAATGATTTTAATCAAATTCCCCGTCATTATAAATATCACGAATACACATCAAATAGTTTTCTGGTTGCAATTTTCTAATTTCGACTATGCGTAATGTATGCTTTACGCATGCACGCGTTGAAAGAAATGTTTAATAAAGTAAACAAATAAATATTAAGCTTTTTTTTGTAAATTTTGATACCCTTTAGATCATAATTGCTCTTTATTTCATAAATTACGGTTTCATATTTTTAATTTTATAATTTCTGCATACCATCTTACCAGATTTAAACTGATGATCTATAATCCGGAAAAACCGATAATCCGGAATCTCTGAAGTCCCGATGAGTCCGGATTAAAGACTTTTGACTATAAATAGTTTTAAAAATACTATCTTAAACATATACGCAAAGAATGTAACGAATAACGCAAAACAATATTGTTGCGTGCTTTCGGGTTCATAACAGATTGAATGCAAGCAAGGTCCGAAGATATCTTGACAAAATTTATCTTCACCAAATGAAACGTTTCAAAGTTCTGATATTTTTCACATAAATGCTCGTACGGATATTCACAGTATCACAGAGAACAATTAATAGTTACACTTCAAACTACTAAGGACGTTAAACACAGCGCAAAATAAAGCGCACCTAAAGAGAAAGCTAACCCGGAGATATCTCAGTTCACGCTAAACTAACAGCTCATAACAAAAATAACTGAGAGCAGATGTTTTGTCCAATCTCAGCAGATGTTATTTATAGCCCTTTCTGCATTTTGAAATTCTTGGAAAGCAATATGAGGGTTGAATTACAGTTGCAGCTAATATAGTGATCAATTACACTTATTCAATTACAATACCTATTACGGTGACACAGGGACCGGACTGAAATATTGCCAAATGGTCTCAAAGTTTAGCGACCTCAGTGGCCGTTGTCAGCTTGGCGATATCTCGCCAAATTACCAAGACACCCATTTACTAAATGTTAAATAGACTTGCCCATGTACTCATACTTTTCCAGCAAACCTTTAGATTTTCCAGGTAACATTACACAGAAAAATACAGCAATTTCGCGCATAATTGCACTAAAATAATCTATTTATGCAATTCATCATGTACTTAATCATTGTACTTCATCATGTACAAAATTCGTAACAATACATTAATGTACAATTAACAATGTTATTACTTAACATCTGTTAGGCAAGAGGATTAAATGGTTCTTTATTCTAGATTTTATTCGTTATTTGTGAAAATAGTAAACCTAAAATATAGAGCTCAGAAAATGTAAAGGAATTGCCAAAAATAATGATAACTCTGCTCGCTATTGCTTCAAACAGCGAAAATTTTAGAAGGGCAATGAATCCTAAATTTTGTCGAATTCAGATCCTTGGAAGGCTTTCAAAATTTCTAAAATCCTTAATATAAGAATAATAATAAGAAGAAAAGAAGTGTAGAAAATGCAAAATTAACTTAAGAGTTAAAATATAGATGAACATTAAATGAGAGATACTAAATTCTTTCCAGATAATTTTACAAACATCAAAAACGCCTTTCATGAACTCCTACATACAATTTAACTAAGCTTACCATATTTCCTTCGATTTAACTAACCCTTGTCCAACTTTGAGTTATAATCTATAACAGCTTTTACTTTAGGATTCGAAAATTTCAAGTCATGATAGAAGCAGAAAGATTCCAATTTTCATGTTTCACACTATTCGAGGATTCAGAAGTTACCCACGTAGAAAACATTATTCATTTATTTGTTAAAGAAATACACGAATGATGAGATTAATGTTAAATCATATGTTGCTAAAGCAATTAATACTGTTTTGTATTCAAAAACTTTTAAATAAAATTAGCACTTTTTAGCTCAAAAGCCGAGAAGGGCTATTAATTTGGTTTTGGCATTGCGTGGCCTTTCACTATAACCGGCGTTTCACTTTTCAAATTGTTGCCACCAAATGTTAGAGATCTGCATATATTTAAAGAAATTAAACAATGAAGAACCTGCATAAATGTGTGTATGTTTCTCGCACTGCGAAAAAACAACGGTACCTAGAGACATCAGATTTTGAATAAAGTAGTCCTCCATTCAAATATGCGCATTTGGAAGCCCAAATTTGCAATTTATATTTGTTTTATTACGATTTGATATTTTCTAAAACGTTAAAGAGTTTTTTAATTAACAAACTCAACGATTTCAAAGCGAGTAATGGCAAAACTTTACGAAAAAAAAGCATTTCGATCTCCAGCGCGCGAGACTATGTATCGGAAATTATAAATATATGTCCTTTTATATATTTTGTGATATTGATATTGAATAGAATTTTATGGTTTAAGTGCGGAGAACATGATATTTAATAAATAAAAGTACTATCAAAATGTTAAACAACGCAGTCTTTGGGCGTAAAATAAAAATCTGAAAATTTTTCAGATTTTTATTTTTTAGCCCAGAGAAGTATTGTGCCCAGAAGGGCCATTAATTTCGTTTCGGCATTTTGCTTTGATTCACTATAAACGGCGAATCGCTTTTTAAATTGTTGCCACAGAATATTAGAGCTCTGTTTAATATTGAATGAAATTAAATAATGAAGAATCTGCATGACTGTGTGAATGTTGCTCACAACATTCCTAATTCATTTGTGATAAAACAACGATACCTAGAGCCATCAAATTTTGAATAACTTATGTCTTTACCCGAATACGGGCGTCTGAAAGCCCAAATATGGAATTTGAAATTTGCTTCATTACCTGTTTCATATGTGGTAAAAGCATTTAAGATTTTTGATTAAGAAACTCCCCGATTTCAAAGCGAGCAATGGCAACACTGTACGGCAAAAAAAAATATCTCAAGTATGCGATATTGTGTATCGGGAATTCTAAAGATACGCTCTTTTAAATATTTTGCGATTTTGCTGTTGAATTGTATATTATGGTTTAAGGGGACTCATGCACCTTAAAACCCATAAGATGTCCGAATAGGTGACTGTTGCAAGAATTGGAATAACTTATTTATTTTAAAAGCAATTATTACCAACTTTTTAAAGCTGACTGCATAATATAGCTGCTTTCTGAAATAGTCATCAGAAAATTTGTGTTGACACAAATATTTTTATAATTTAATCCGCTTTATGACAACATTTTTCGTCATGTTTCCAACTTGCGCGCACAGTTTTAAAACATTCTGTTTCATAATTTAATTCCATATTTAATATATAGCTTTTATAACATTTTGAAACTACTGTGAACCTAAAATTCTAAAAAAATTTCATTTTCAATTTTATTTTATTTTGAGTCGAGTTTATAAAATGTATTTTATTAACAAAATTTTGCATGTTTTTCGTCCATAAAATTTTCAATATTAAAATATTATCAGATTGTTGGTTCAGTTCGAAAATAGTGCCCATATAAAGAATTCCATCCAATTTCAATCATATGTACCATTAGCCATTTTTAAAATATCATGCGCGCAAGGTGGAAACATGGCGAAATATTTTGTCATTGTGGCAACACAAACTTTCTGTTTACTAGTTTCTAAAGTAGCTATATTATGTAGTCAGCTGTAAAAAGTTGGAAGTAATTGCTTTTAAAATAAATAAAATATCCCAATCCTTGCAACAGTCACATATTCTAAGATCATGAGGGGTTTAAGGTGTATGAGTCCCCTTAAGTGCGAAGAACATGATATTTAATAAAGGTAACACACAAAACAATTAAAAACGCACTTTGGGTGTAATATAAAACTGAAAGCTTTCATTTTTTATTATTCTACTTATAAATCTAGTTTTTATTTTCTTATGTTTAGAATATGCTTATAAAGTCTGCTGGTCTAACGGAACCTGGTATCAAAACGAGCAGTTAAGAGAGTGGACAAATTACAGCAAATGCGGCCGTGTTGAGGTAAATATGTTAAAATCTGCTTTTGTAAGTATTCATTTTGGACTTTACAATTTTTTTTTCTGTAATAAAGTCTGAGAATAGGAAACATATTTATATCTACTTGAAAAAAAAAATGAACTTAAAACGTTTTACAGCGAAACCTCTAAAAACATTAAGTAAAAATAAAGTAAACTTGTCCATTGTTTTGAGCATTCTAATCAACAAATAATTACAGTGTATTTTTAGAAGGTATTGACTATGATTTTGTACATTGTTGAGCCTTTATGCTCTGTTTCTGTGATGTTCTTAGAATGTTCTTTTCTCTAATTCATTTTTACCGAAAGCATGCATTTCTACTTACAGGAACACCGACGATATTTATACTTCCATATATCTACATACTCTGTCTCTATCATATCTATGATTCCAGCTCTCGTGATATTCTCGGTTTACAAGTAAGTTTTTTATAATGTTTTAAGCAACTTGAAAATTATTTTTTTGATTTTAAGATGTTTATTTAAATAAGATAAAGCACTACATTCAGGTGCTGCAGTAAAATACTGTCACAAAACAAGACATAGGTTTTATGTAGTATTTTTCTAAATTAAATTTAAAATATACGTCATATTTTATTTAAAAAATTAATTTGATAATTCAGAATTGTTATGATTTAATTTTAATTTTTAAAAACTAATATTCCTAAATATATTACTTTATGTTTTAAGCATCGGCTATGCATCTTTTATTTTCAATAAATTTAAATGCACGCATTTAAAGACATTTAAATACATTTCGTTCATAAAATTAGGAAAATCCTTCTAACTTCTGTTGAAAGTTATCAATTAGGGTCTAAGTATTTAATCAGGATATGCATGTCATATCTCGATTTAGTTTGCTGTGTAGGAAATTCTTATTCTCCATATAAATTATTTGAGACAGGGAAAACTGTCTGTCATATTCTTAAATGTCATAACCATTATCTTATATTGCAGCATGTTTCAGATGCATCAGTAATACTGTGCAAATTTTATGAAAGCGAAGCAGACAAAGTCAAATATAAGCAACTCACTCGATTAGACTTCTACTATCTATGATATGTTATATAATATGTTATATGATATGTGACATAATAATATATATATGATATATTCTGTTTGGTAACAGTTGCTCTTCATGATTTTTATTCACTGTAATTTCCAAGGCAATTAAGTGTTTTGTACTATCGGAGGAGGTATTTTGTCCTATTCCTCTTGAGCAGCTTTTCCAAGTCTGAGGAGTGTTGTAGGTCAACGTTTGGTCCGCTTTTTAAAAGTCCAAGAGTGATACATCAGGGGATTTGGTAGGGTTAGGAATGAAGGGTATGGCTTATAAAGGATTTGTAATTGTTATTAAAATATTTGTTTTGTGTTTCATTTTTCCCAGGAAATTAACAGTGGATTTTGACATGCGAGTTCTTGCTTTGTCTTGATGCAGTTATACTGATTAATAACACTGTGGGTAAAGAGAAGGTATTTTATATTTGAAAATTAGGTATCAGATATATTCTTGATAATACGTGGAGTTGATCTTAATAATTTTCTCCACTCTCTTTATGTTTAATTTGTCGTTAGATGAAAAACCAACAACAATCATGATTCCATTTGAAAAACTTTCTTTAGACTCTTTGAATCATGTCTTGTGATTTTTTTCTCCTCTTTCATGAAAACAAACCGAATTTTTTGTGGTCATTTAAATTTATCCAATTTTCATCTGTTGGGACAAATGTGTTTCCATTTTTGTCGAGATAAATATTTCTCATAAAGAATTCTGCAGCGCGTTCTGCGTTCGGCGATCTGTCTTGGAGAAAGGCGAATGCACATTAAATTTTTTTTCGTTTTTAAGATTCAATTTAGCATTTATCACTTTGTTTACAGCTGACACTGATCATTTATAGATTTTGCAAAGGTCCTTTAACTTGGCGCGTTTTTTTTATGAAAGATCTTACCTTTGCAACATTCCAAACATTTATTCTTTCCATGGGCATGCATTTGGAAGAAATTTTTCATTTCAGTCAACTTTTGACGGTTTTTTTCCTGTCTAGTTGATTATATTATATATCGTAGCTTTAGATATCGAAAACCCATGATTTTCTCAGTCCTTTTGGGTAACTAGATATGAATGATTTTCGTTGGAAAGAGTCCAAACATAGCCTTCCATCTATTGCTTCTTTAAAAGTGTCATATAGCATGAAAACAAAACTGTCAAGTAGCAGATAATAATTTATACTTTCAAAAGTAGAGTTGCAGTGTAATGTTGCGCGCTTCCAACCTGCACGCAACAATAGTGGTGACTGCTAAGAACTGGAAAGTAGACAAAGTCTTGAGAAGGGTTTAAGTCCCTTTTTATTCAACTTGTGATTAGAAATTACAAATTACAAATTACAAATGCGTGCTCTTGACGCTCACAAACTACGCCGACCCGGCGTTAAAATAAAAATAAGAAAGTGAAAAGAGATAATAACAAGTGACTAACTACGAGGCTCTCTAAACGTAACTAACCTAACCGCGTTCTAAGATACAGCTGACAATTCAGCAAATTTCTGAATATTACGTTGAAAGATTTAACAGTCTGCCGAGGCAAGCACACAGGCCGAAACGCGTGGTTCTTCAATTTCTAACTAGCCACCTCCACGCTCGTGAAGCAAGAAAGCACCCTTTCGAACTCGTTTCCCTTCTATTTAACTCAGATTACTTCCGCTGACAATTTGAATCCTTGCGCGTTCTACTGAAATTTACATACTCTGGCATTGGCAATTCCAGGGGAAAGTAAGGCTTGACAGGAAAGATGGTTTAAACTTAAAATAAATGTTAGTTAAAATAGTAAATATAAACCCTACAGCAGTTAAAAACAACTGCAGGTAGAAGACATTTTTCTATCAAAGCAAAATCTTCTAAAAAATGTGAGAACAGCCCTTGTATGTGTTGCTAGCTATCTGCTATATGAAACGTTTAGTAGTATAGATCTAGTTTTTTCTGAAACGCAAAATACCATAGGACTATAGTATATATTAGATAAAGACAGATTTTAAATCGTGCCGACAAACGCTGTGGGATTATAGACGTTAAACAGAATTGAAATCGGGCTATAAAACTTGAAGCGTTAGTTTCATATACATGCCACTTATATTTAAATATTCCTGACGATTGGTAGACATTAAAAACACAACGTATCATTGCTACAGTTACTGACAAACTACTATTTTTCAAATGGAAATATATCGCTAACAGTCCCGTAGTATTTCAAATTTATCGTTAAATTATATTAGTCTTTTTCTTATCAATCTAATAAACGCAACAAATACATGAACAAGTTCTACTCTCATAGAGACAAAACTTGTACTTCGTAACAAAATGAAGTTTGTTAAACCGGTGCAATTTTTCATATATTATTCATGTAAATAACAGCTACTTCCTTATGACATTCCCAGAAGCTTATTTCAAGTAAGCATGATTTTCTCCTCTTAGTAAAAGAGGGCGAGTTGTATTTCCGCAGAAAATATCTGATTTAAAATGCGAGTGAGCATAACGGCTAAGTAAGAAATAATTGCGAATCCCATTTAAGACACGGAAGGTAAATACTTTAATCTTTCTGTGATACTTTATATTAACTTAAGAATATTCAAATTTACTGTGCACAGACATCCCGTATTTTTACTTTTATAAATAACCATGCTGTTTACTAACTCATTAAAATGCAGTAGCTTTGAGACTGATTCGCATTCAAAAGATTATATTCTTGCGTTAGTATCATTAAAAGGTACACTGCTCAAAAAAAAAAAAAAAAAAAAAAAAAATGGGACAGTGCTATATTTCCCGTTCTACTGGGCCGATTGACAAAATTCAAACTGCGTTTTTCATGCCTTGAAAGCGCGACTTAGGATATATATTAGATTTATATATAGCACTATTCTAACATAGGTATTTTGACACAAAATCGGACTTTTTCTGAAATAACATACCAATTTTTTTCCATATTTCAATTCTACGACTCAAATTAAGCCAGAATACCAAGTTTTGTAAAAATCGTACGACTAGTTTTTAAAATATTAGCTCTCAAAATTTTAGCTCCTCAATGTTAATTGAATTGGGCAAATATTTTATTAATATCTCTTCTTTTGTTAAACTTTTTTGATTTTTTTTCTCTCACATTTCGAAATTTAGGTTCATTCCAAATAAAATTTACCCATTTTTTTGGTTTTTATTTTTTAAATTTCTATTTTTAAATAATTTTTATAATTTTTTCGAAAAAAAATTTTGAATTATAACCTATACAAGTTTTCCTATCATCTTAAGTAGGTGTATTTTTAAGCATATCTGCAAAAAATTAGACTTTTTTATTCAAATTTTCTAAGATATACACGAATTTACATATTTCGCGCGTTTTGAAATTTGGCATCTTTTTTTGAGCGATAATAACGCCAAATGTGGTCTATGGATTTTTGTTACACTGAATTGCCACAGCTATTTTTAACCTTAATTTCAAGTAAAATTTTACGGAGAATTAATTATATGAAATTTTTTCCCTCAATAAGGCGTAATAAATATTATTAATACTATATGAAAAGCTATTTTTTAAATTATAGATGATATATTCAAATTTTAACATGTTTTTTAATTTCTCTCTTTCTTCCTTTTTTTTAAAAAAATAAGAGTAATTTTTCTAAGAGTAAATTTTTACCTTCGGCGTTTTATCGTCTGCTACTTTATTTCGTTTAAATCGAATTGTCTAAAACTGAGAATTTTCGTTTAATGTTTATTTGAATTTTATGAAAATAGTTTATGACATTAACTGCATAATTTATTTCTAAACAAACTGTCGCTTTTGAAGTGGCTGAAAGAGCGCAGATACTATCATCCATATTTTTAAAGCACAGTATATTTTATAGAAACATAAGATTTAGAATATCATTTTATATAAGACAAATTATGATATAAACATACAACCCTCTAAAGACTGAATTAATCGAAGTTCAATGGTTATGTAGAAATGATCTGCAGCTACTTAATGGCTGGATAAGTCAGCAGCTTCTGTGGACAAGTAAGAATAATTATACAAACGACACACAACATTCTGGACTCAATTAACAACGAAGATACGATGTTTATTAAATGAATTTAAGAAGTTTTAAAATATAAAAAAGACACTCATTTTTTTATCCTAAAATGTATTTTTGTGCGTAGCGTATTTTAATTATATCCTTAAAATTCTAATTTAGATTGTAATTGTCAAGAACTGAATCCTAATCATCAGTAATATAATAAGTAATTATTACGGTTATTAATAAATCCTTCTTATAAAGTAATTGCAAATATTTCAAAAAACTTTGTCTGAATTCAATATTTTTCGTGCAAATATTTTTAATTTTATATAATCAAGATTGCACGCACGATATTATTTATTTGCCTTCAATTCTTACCGTC